TCCTTCTTTCCTTCCTTCCTTCCTTCCTTCCTTCCTTCCTTCCTTCCTTCCTTTCTTTCTTTTTTTCTATTGAATAGCCAACTCCAGAACCAATGGCCAAAAGAGAACTGGCTTCCTTAGACTTCCCTCTCCAAATCGCAGGGGCAGGAGGTCCTCCTGGGGGGTGGGGGGCTGGTGATAGATTTTTTCCCAGGGCATGCTGGCTCCGCTCTTCCCCAGTACACCAGTACTCAGTACACCAGTACATCAGGACTCCTGGAAGCTTACTACCAAAGTGTCCCCATGGGACATCTGGCCCCAGCAGGGAGAAATGAGCACTGAAACATTTATTTGGGCTCTGATGGCAGCCAAAGAAGACGGATGAAACTGATTGCCACCATCAGTGAGACTGCACAGCCACCTCTCTCTTCTAGACACCACCTCCATTCCTGGAGCTGCCTTCGGGCTTCTTCACTTTGTTTCCTTTATGCTCTTTTTAAAAATTACATTTAATCCCACCCGGGAGGCAGGGGCAGGTGGATCCCTGTGAGTTCAAGGCCAGCCTGGTCTATATAGTGAGTTCCAGCTGGGGCCTCAGGGAGACCCTGTCTCAAAAAGAACAACAACAACAACAATTACATTTATTTATTTCTTGTGTGGATGTGAGTGCATGCTTGCCATGGCGAACATTTGGAAGTCAGAGGAAACTTTGGAGAGTTGTTGGTTCTTCCCTTCCACCATGTAGGTTCCAATAATTGAACTCAGTCAGGCAGCAAGTACCTTTATCCACTGAACCATCTCATCAGCCCTATACTTTTGCCCTTGAAGGTTTGATATTCTTTCATGGTTCATTAGAAGATAATAACACCAACAAGATTTTGCTAGTCATTTGTATCTGTATTATAAGGTACTCAGTTCTGGAGAGCTGATGTTTGGCTTGTGAAATGTACTAGTTATCATTGGCCAAATCCATCTACATTTACTGTGCTATGGGTTAAACCAGAAGAACAGTGGCCAATCCACCCTGTGTGCATCCCTGGGAAGCAAACTTGGGGCAAAGAGGTTCTCTTCGTAACTTCCCCTCCACCTTCTTGTCTCTTCCTACACGTAGTCCTGCAGGATCTTTTCTTTGAAACCCTCTGTATCTTCTCTCTGGTGGTTTCTGTTGATCTCTTTTGTAACCACAGGCCTGGCTGCACTGTTCATAGAGCCCGGGGCAAAGTAAACACAAGAATCCCCTCATTCAAAAGCTATGATGCAGGCAGGGGAGGCAGCTGAGAGGTAGAGCACTTACTTGCCTAGCATGCATGAAGCTCTAGGCTCATTCCCCAGTACTCACTATGATGCAGCTCTTCTTTGAGACAGTGTTCACATAACCCAGGCTGGCCTTGAACTCTATGAAGCCAAGGATGACCTTGAACTTCTGATCCTCCAGCCGTCACGTCCCAAGTGCTGGGAGTACAGGTTTATATCACCACACCAAGCTACACTCATTATTTTTGAAGGAGGAAATTGTTTTCCAGGCATGATGGCCCTTGCCTGTAAACCCAACATTTGGGAGGTAGAGGCAGGAAGATCAGGAGTTCAAGATCATCCTCAGCTGCATAACAAGTTCGAGGCTGGCCTGAGCCTACATCAAAACTGTCCCAGCTCCTCTCCCCACCCAAAAGTCAACAGCAACAACAAAACAAATCAAAGAACAAAATAGGATAATGGAAATATTAAGAAAATTATCTAATATACCCTGTAGCTCTGAAAAGTTAGACTCTCACTAGATAGATCTTTCCCCTTCTTGATTGGATAAATCACCACCTGTATTACTGACATCTCTCTGTATGATAGTCTAAAATATGGCCCCCAAAAGATAGAGGGTCAAACCCCTAGAACCTAGACATAAGAACTTATTTAAAATTAAAAAAGTTTATTTTATGTGTATTTTATTTTGAGTGTTATACCTACAGTATGTAAGTATACATGTAGTGTATACATGTAAGTATTATAAAGTGCTTGCAGAGGAAGAAGAGGGTATCAGATTTCCTGGAACTGGAGTTACAGATGGTTGTTAGCCGCCATGTGGGTGGTGGAATTCAAACCTGGGTCATCTTCAAGAACAACCAGTGCTAGTAACTGCTGAGCCCTCTCAACAGCTCCACCTATTACATTTTACTTATTTTGTATACATGTGTAGTGGTTGGGCAGCCACATGTCATAGTGCCCATGTGGAGGTCAGAGAACAACCCATGGAAGTCAGTTTTCTCTCTCATCATGTGGGTCCAGGGATGGAACTCAGGTCATCAGGCTTGCCACAGGTGCCCCTACCCACTGAGCTACCTTGCCAGCTGTGGGCATTTGATCTTAGTTAGAAAAAGGGTCTTTGCAGGTATAATTGTGTTAAAGATCTTTCAGTGAGATAATCATTGATTAGTGTGGCTTCTTAACCCAATGACAGGTGTTCCTCTCAGAGAAGGGAGGGGCAGAAGATGCAAAAGGGAAGGCCACATGAAGACAGAGGTAGGAGGTTAGAACCCAAAGTCAAGGAGGCCAGCCCAGGAGCTAGAGGAAAGGCAAGGGGAGATCCCTAGAGCCCTTGGGAGATGGATG